ACATAAACCCTGTCTTGAAAAACAAAACAAGAGAAAAAATAATACTTAGTTTCTTTCTCTTAGTATAAAATGCTTGAGACTCGTTCACGTGTTGTATATTCACCATGCTATGCCTTTCTACTGTCAGCTAGTGTTCCATTATACAGGTACACATTAACACCTGACAAATTTCCAGTTTGTGCTTATCAGGAATGCTGTTATGATTGCTTACGTGTAAGTTATAGCTAAGGCGTACATTTTCACTTCTGGGAGCTTGTGTGGTAATCCTATGTTTCTATTTTAAAGAATCGCCACACTTTTCTAATTGGCTGTACACTGTACGTCTGCACCAGCAGTGAATATGGTTCCAACTCTGTGCTATAAACTGATCTCAGTGTGCAATGCCCTTATCCTCATGGAACTACTACCCCGGGTGAAATAAGATAAAATAAGCTGGGAGGGTGGGGATGAGCGGCGGTTCTGTGGTGCTCTCAAGAGGACCCAGGTTTGGCTCCTAGCATCCAATGGTGACTTACAACCATCCTAACATCAGTTCCAAGGGAATTCCAGAGGTTCTGACCTCTGGGACACCCAGTACCATTCTGGTAGGTACACATGCACACGTGCAGGCACAATGCTCATACACATAAAATACTCTTGTTTAAAATTTTAAAAGGGGCCTGTGAAATGGCTAAAGTACCTGCTACCAAGGTCACAACCCAAGTCTGATCCCAGGGGTCACACAGTGAAAGTTTCAGGAAGAAACTGAGTCTTACAAGTTGTCCTTTGAAGGGGAGAGGGAAGAGAAGAGGGAGACAGAAAATAAACATTTTTTTGGTTGTGAGCCTAGCCTTTAACGGCTGAGCCATCTCTCCAGCCCTAACATTTTTTAATTTTAAAAAGACAAACAGGTAACTGTTTGCAGTAAAAAGCAAACAAGGAAAGAAAAAAATGAATGGGCAAACAAGGTTAATTAACCAGAAAATAACTTGAAACGGAGGGTCTAATGACTGTGACCAGAGAAAAGGCCTCTCGGAGAAAGTGAGGCAGACCTGAGAGTTGAGAGCAGAAAAACAAGTATTGCATGATGGTGGTGCAGGCCTTTAGTCCCAGCGCGCTGGAGACCTCTGCCCGAGGCCAGCCTAGCCTACAAAGTGAGTTCCAGGCCAGCCAGGCTGTGACACAGAGAAACCCTGTCTCAAAAAAACAAAAAGCAAAAACAGAAACAGGGAGGAAAAAGAAGAAGAAAGAAAATTCAGCGGCACAAGCAGAATCGACAGGAATGCCAATGGTAGCTGGGACGTTGTAAAGCGGCAGAGGGCAGACGAAGTGGGAGGAAGGCAGAGGTCATGGGACTGCGGGAAGCTCTCTGGATTGTCCTAACTCACCCTGCCTGCTGTCCTACGGTGCCAGCCCCACAGGTGCTCTCAGCCTCCGCAGAGCCTTCATGCATCTGACTGCACCTGACAGCAGCAATGGCCACAGACAGCCTGGCTGAACCAGCGCCCCTTGGTTGGTAAACTGTCCCTGGTCTAGAAGGGACGTTGTAGGCACCAGTGGCGATGGCTTAGGTTTAAAAGACACAACCTAAGGAAAGACTCTTTACGGATTTATTGACTGTATCTTCCCAGCAACTCAGCAATGATCAAGGCCCGGCAAAGGACACGGCAATCCACTTCCAGAAGTTAAATCTAAACGTCACTCTAAGTCTAATTAATTGCTTTTCCATTCTATAATCTGAAAATATTCAACTCCTAAACATAAAACCTACAGGCACAAAATATGCTACATATCTCTAAATTGCTTGAGTCTTTCGAAGTAACATTTCTTTTTATCACCTAACATAGCTGTATTCGAGCTTTCCAAAGAGTCAAAGCTGGGTGTGGCAGAACACGTCTGTTAACCTGGGCTAGGACAGTAAGAAATGAGTCTTACAAAAACAACACAAGTCAGAGACAAGATTGGTTTTAAATCTCTCCTGATATAAAAGGTCACTTCTTGATTGAAAGAACCTGTTGCCTAGTCAAAACTACAGACTTTAAAAACCAAAGCTGACTCCTACGAGCCTCCTGGTCCTAGGTTTCCCCCTACCTCAGATTTTATGATTTACATTCCTCACTGGGAGAAATCCAACCAGTTTCTCAGGGTGCAAGGCAAATACCATTCTTGCCCTTCCCTGAGCAGAACCTCCACCTCACCTCCACGCTCCAGGAGCAATTCCACAGCTCAGAAGCTGCCTGCCCACTCCCACCTGGCCCAGAGCTGGACAGAGGACATCTGTATCTCGGCAGGAGTGCTGAAACCCTGCCCCTCCCCTAAGCTCACCCCAAGTATGCAGTGCCTCCCGGCAATCATTTACCGTTCAGTTTCCGATAACACACATTTTAGTACCGGTCAAGTCCTTGCAGAAATTAAACAAAGGACGGGTAGGTGCCTTTTCTTCCAAACCTGGACCGAAGCCTGAAGCCTTTAACGACACAAGGCATGGAACGTTGACATGAAAAATTTCTACTCCCATTACCTATTCGAGATCTATCTAAGCCGGGTGACACAGGCTGCTATGGAGAACCCAGCGACTGTTGAGAGATTTGGAGCGCTTGTTGCTCCTGCAGCGATGGGTTTTGACTCCCAGCACACAAACACGGTGGCTCAAAAGCATCCCTAACTCCAGTTCTAGAGGAACTGACACTGTTCTTCCTCCTGGACACCAGACACACACGTGATGTACATCAGGCAAAACACGCAAACACACACAAAAAATTGTTCTTCTTCTTCGTTGTTTTGTTTTTCGAGACAGGGTGTCTCTGTAGCTTTGGAGCCTGTCCTGGAACTCACTCTGTAGACTAGGCTGGCTCAAACTCACAGAAAGCCTTCTGCCTCTGCCTCCCGAGTGCTGGGATTTAAAAGGTGTGTGCCATCACCACCTGGCACAAAAAAAAATTCTTTATTAACATTTTTTTTTTAAACTTAGTCAGGCCTGGTGCCACATGCCTATATCCGAGCACAGAAGCAGGAAGACCAAAGAGTTCAAGGTTATTCTCATCACAGAGATTTGAGGCTACCCTGGGTGACATGAGATGTCTCAGCCTTTACCCCCATCCCCAGGAAGACTCTAAGATAGGCCTTGAGGCACATGCCTGTAACTCCACTGCTGGGAAGGCAAAGGCTGATCATAAACCCCAGGAGTCTGGGCTCCTAGCGAGTTCTAGGCCATCTTGAGCCACATGGCAAAACCACGTTTAATAATGACGATGAAGACAATATGACGCAAAGTTTAGGGCTCTGAACCTATAATACACTTGAGGTCAAAGACCTCCACAAGGTCCCGTGGCTAACCGCAGGAGCTAAAATGTGACTCTGTCCAACACCACCCACAAATCTTAAGAGCCTGAATATCAGGAGCCTCAGAACATCTGGCCGGAGGCGGAGTGGGGTGCACCTTGAAATGGGTAAACACTTGGGTATTTAAGATCTTAAATATTTACTAACGGGGTTTTCTACTTTTTAATTTTTACGAGGAAGGGCTAATTGATCCTTAATCACACAGATCATTATTTTCAAATTCAGCCGTGCCAGTTAAGGCTTTAAAATATTTTGGGAACACACAAACAACCAAAACTTCTGCTTGGCAATGGCTCAGACCAGAAACACATCCGCGGGGAGTCAGTTTTTCCTTATTTGTGCCCAAAGGCCCAACAGACTAAACACTACAGCTGCCCCAATTTTCTCATTTCAACTTGCATTTAAGATAACGCTTTTGTTTCGTTTACAGCTCTGGGGCTGCTGACACAGCTGGGCCCCTTCTTTGTAATAAACACAGGGCTTCTATATTTAAAAGTACAGTGCAACTTTGTTTTAACATCCCCTCCCCAGTCTCCGGGCTAATTTTCTGTCTTCCAAAGCTCCACCTCCACCCCATGATTTTTTTTTTTTTTTTTTTAATCAGTGACGCTCCCAACAGCCTCCCGGAAAGTGGAGTCTGTTCTTTAAAGACATCTCATCACAGTGGTATTTCTCCTCTCCGCAGCTTGTTGTACAGGGGGCAAAGAGACTTTCTGCAAAGGACTCGTCTTGAGGCTGGGGTGCTGATGGGGGAAGCAGTGGACCCGGCTCGGGTGCAAGCAGCGGGGGTTCCAGGGCCGGGCTGGCGACGGGGAGCGGCGGGGGCAGGCGAGCCCAGGGGGGTCTCGAGTCGCTGTTGATAGTAAGTGGTGCACGGCGACCACGGCGGGCACGCCCGAGCCGGCCGGGTCGGAAGGGGGCGGCCGAGTAGGGTGTGGGCCCAGGGGGCACGGGGGTGGGGGTGGGGGGGAGATAAGGCGAGGCCCGAGTTAATCATCACCTCCCGAGCGCCTGGAAAAGTACGAGCGGAGGGCGGGGAAGCAGGCGCAGGGAAAGCGAAACTCCTCCCGCACCGGCCCGAGCACGCTCCCCACGAGCCACCTGCTCGCCCCACTACCATCAACTCCACAACTGCATCACCCACTCATCGGGCACCGACGCAGAAGTTAGCCAGAGCCCCCAGAAAACATAACCTGTTCTCCAAATTCTAATAAGGCAAAAGAAATAAAAGGTAGAGCCACAGTTCCCATACCGGGAGTCGAACCCGGGCCGCCTGGGTGAAAACCAGGAATCCTAACCGCTAGACCATATGGGAAGTGCTGCCGAGAGTACCGCCGTTACCCACCTGACTAGCGTCAGCCAAGCGACCGCCTCAGCTACCGTGCACGACTCCAGCCGAAGCCGCCCCCGCGGCAGCCGCTGTCCCACGCGCGGGAACGAGCCCGACGGAGCGCACGCGGGCGTGGCGGGGGGTGGGGGTGGGGGAGGGAGGAGCAGCGGGCAAGCCAAGCCACTGGAAAGTTTTGAGGCGAAGCCCCAGCGCCCCGGTGGCGGGTCCGGAACCGGCGGCTGCGCCTTTCTTTCTCAGCCCTCAGGTCCGGGCTGCTCTCCGGTCACGGAGCGAGCGGGCTAGCCGGCAAAGCCGAGGGCGGCGCCGTCTGTGGGAACAGCTGCGCGCGGCGTGGGGGGGGGGTGAGGTGGAGGGGGCGGAGGCCGAGCTCCTCGGCCGCGAGCCAGCTCGAGAGTGGAGGTTCTGGATCCCGGGAGGAGTGAGGACCCGCGGGGGCTGGAGCTCGGCTAGGACACTCGCGGCCCGCAGCTCCGGTCCCGTCGCGCTTTCGTCCCTTCTGGGTGACCTCAACCCCTTTATACCGACCCCACCTCTCAGGCTCTGACAGGACCGCCCCGTGGGGGAGGGGAGGAGGCGGCGACACCGCGCGCGCGGATTGGGCCCTCGCGGCCGCCGTAGTCCGTCGGGGCCGCAGGACGCCGGGTCCGGGGACGCGGAGGCCCGGAGGTCCCGGCTCTCGCCGCCCGCCGAGCAACAGGGAGCGCGGGATCGCGGGCTACGCGCGGAGCCGGCGCGGTCATGTGAGTCGGGTCGGACCTGAGCCGCGCGGCGGCCACGTGCCACCGCCTCCTCCCGCCCCTCCGCTCGCCCCAGGCCGCCGGACCTGCCGGGCCGGTTCTCGGGGAGACGCGGGAGCCCTGGGAGCTGAGGACTCGGGTGCCGCCCCTGCCCGCCGGGGCCCGGGTGGCGCTGTCGCTGCAGATGTCCCCAAAACAAGTGAATTAGCTGAGAAGGGGGCGGGAAAGGGAAATACTTTGCTGGCAGTAACGAGAACTGTGATTATTTTACGGAAAGCGGTTTTACAAGGAATTCAGCTTCACTTAAATAATGAAACTGCTAAGACAAAAGCCAGTCAACACCCTTACGTTCCAAATGTTAAAAAAGTATAACAATTCTCTTTTAATTTTTGGATAAACTTAGAGTTGTTTTTCCTTATTCAGGGCCGACTACTGGAAGTCACAACCAAAGAAGTTCTGTGATTACTGCAAGTGCTGGATAGCAGACAACAGGCCTGTATGAAATTTCTAGTAACATATTCATGTGACATGTTGCTTTTTGATCTAAGAGTTTGCAAGCCACTTTCATGTATACTGCTCCAGATTTTTTTCCAAAACCTAGAAAGATGCCTTTTGTTTGATTCCACTTATGAAAGCTACGGTCCTCTCATCAGTCTAACGTTGATTTCAAGGCCTAATTATTTCTGTGGCCTTTGAAGAAATGGACCGTGAGTAGGTAATCTCATCCATGATTATGGAACTCCTGCCTCTTAAAAAGAATATTTTCCTTTCTCTTTTATGTTTCTTGTTCTCAGAGAAATTTGGGAGAACATCATTGTCCCCCTCATGAAATATAAACACAGCAATAATTTATCCTTGTAAGCTAGCTCCAACTTGGTTTTGTTTTGTTTTCGAGACCGGTTTTCTCTGGGTATCTCTGGCTGTCCTGAAACTCGCTTTGTAGACCAGACTGACCTCGAACTCGCAGAGAACGGCCTGCCTCTGCCTCTCTGAGTGCTGGGATTAAAGGTGTGCGCCACCACCTGACTAATAGCTCCAGCTTTTAAAGCATAAAGCAAAAAGTCAGGTGGCTTTCTTCCCTCTCAGATATGTCATAACAGCACAAGCATACTGTAGTAGAAACTTGGACCCACAGTAAAAAACACCTACAGGTTTTGCAGAGGGCTGGTGTTCAGCTCCCAGCACCACGGGGCAGTTCACAACCACCTGTGACTCCAGTTCCCGGTGTTCCAACAACAGCCTCCTCTGACCTTCCTTGACAGCTGTATTCATGTGGCACTTATGAACTTACACAGTCACACACACCCACAAAATAACTTTTAAAAAGCTACACTGTCTTGCCAGGCAGTAGGGCACATGCTAGCACTAGGAGGCAGAGGCAGGTGGATCTCTGAGCTCCAGGCCAGCCTGGTCTACAGAGCGAGTTCCTGGACAGCCAGAACTACACAGGAAAAGCCTGTCTTGAAAAACAAAATGAAATAAAAACAATAGTGGCGACTGTATTCCCTCAGTAAACACCCCTAAGTTGCCTGGGAGGTCTTTGGCTTTGAGGAGTATTGCACTTCTGTTTTGGTCTTACTGATGATTGCTAAAGAGTGTGCATATTTTATTTGGCATAGTCTAATCCTTACCAGAACTGCCATGAGGTTTTAAAACCATACACCTGGAGGTACCTACGCAGTAACATGAATTTTATGAATTATTGAAAATAAATTATCTTTCCAGAAGTTTGCCTGCATCTCCCTAAATATCTAGTAATTTAGTCTTTAGCTACAGGCAATATTCAGTTTTGAATGGTCCTTTGACATAGTATTCTTTGTACAATATATCACCTGGAGGTAACCTGGTCTAGGAACACTAGATGATTGTTTGCTTTGCAAACTCTAGCTTTAATGGGGAATTCACAAGAGTGTATTAGAATACCTTGGTTAGTGCCTCGTACAGGATTTGATTGACAGCATTTATTTTAAAGCATTTTTCTGGGATTTCTTATTTCTTGCCACCAGACATCTATAATTTATTAATTCCTAAGTAGGTCCCAGTGCTCTCTCAGCCATCCATGTCCCAGCCTTCTGATTACTGTTACTCTTCAAAAGCTCCCCTTTTCCCCGTGTCTGTCGTTTTTATTCAAGACAGTATTTCTCTGTGTAGCTATTGAGCCTGTCCTGGAACTCAGGGCTGTGGAGCAGGCTTGCATTGAACTCAGAGATCTACCTCTGCCTCCTGAGTGCTTAGATTAAAGGCGGGCGCCACCACCGCCCAACCCATATCTATCCTTTTATTTTTTCCATGTGCATGTACTCTAGTCCATCATGTTTACAGATAGCACAGTTTTTGTTTTAACTGAACGGTATATCCTGAAGGTGTCTCCATGTCCTTAGGTAGGGGGCTGTGAGAGCCTTTGCTGTAGTAAAAGCCTGTGGGGATGCATGCAGTTCCTCAGCCAGTCCCCAAAAGATCGAATACAAGATTGTTGCTACAGGGCTGGAGAGATGGCTCAGTGGTCTTAGCACTGCCTGCTCTTCCAAAGGTCGTGAGTTCAATTCCCAGCAACCACATGGTGGCTCACAACCATCTGTAATGAGGTCTGGTGCCCTCTTCTGGCCTGCAGACATACATGCAGACAGAATATTGTGTACATAATAAATAAAAATATTAAAAAAAAAGATTGTTGCTACAAACAGTACTGTGGTGAATAACTTTGTTTATTGCATCATTTTGTGCAATGTGGGGAATTTTTTGAGTTTGTGTGGGTGTGTGTATACGTGTTGGAGTGCATGTTCCTCAGCGTGCAAGTCAAAAGACAATGTTCATGCTGGTCCTGGGGGTTGAGGTGAGTCATCAGGCTTGGTGTCAAGCATCTTTACCCACTAAGCCATCTTACCTGCCCAAACGAGGAATTTTTAAAATATCTATTCTTCTGAATGTTTTAAAGACCAAGTCTTTTTTGGTTTTGGTTTTAGTTTTTTGTTGTTGTTCTTGTTGTTTTGTTTTGGTTTTTTGTTTTGTTTCGCTTTTTGGAGACAGGGTTTCTCTGTAGCTTTGGAACCTATCCTGGAACTAGCTCTTGTAGACCAGGCCGGCCTCGAACTCACTGAGATCCGCCTGCCTCTACTTCCCAAGTGCTGGGATTAAAGGCATGTGCCATCACCACCCAGCAAGACCAAGTCTTTAAAGATATTCTTTATGTCTCTAATACAGCAAAACAGAAAATGAAATTTAGAGGCTTAACCAGTTTTGACATTTTGTGTTGAAAGGTAGTAGGTTTTGTTATTGTTGTTGTGGCTTTTGTTTCTTTGGTAGGGTATTTTGGTTTGGAAAAAAAAATTGTTATTGCTACTTTCTTTTTGTTTTGAGACAGGGTGTTGCTTGAGCAAATAGCTTAAGCTGGGCTGGAACTGGAATGCAGGTTTCTCTTGCTTCAGCCTTCAAAGTACTCGGGTTACAGATACATGCTCTGCTCAGCTGAGACATGCTTCTTTTTGGAAGTTGTTCCCAACACTTTAAGTCCTTATCACACCAATATTGACTGGGTTAATCAGGAGGGTACTTGATACTCTCCCCTGTGAGTGTGGTCATCTTGATCCATCTTAAGAACCAGAGACCATCTACTGGGAGAACATGGCAATCTGCTTAGACCACTAGCACCATTTGATACAAGGCTCGGTTTGCATTAACACTAAACATTCTTTATATTTCAGCCCCATATTTACAGTATTAGTTTACTGTGAATTTAATGATGCTTTTCCTTTCAAGAGTGTTGAATTCCATGAAAGAGGAAAGAATCACAAGGAAAATGTGGCCAAGAGGATCAGTGAGGTAATTTCAGTTGGCTCTTCGTTCATTTGTCTGTGCAAATGTTGATCCCATCTCTCACGTTCACCTTCACGTGTGTCTCTCGTAGATTAAACAGAAAAGCTTGGACAAGGCAAAGGAAGAAGAAAAGGCATCCAAGGAGTTTGCGGCGATGGAGGCAGCTGCCCTGAAGGCATACCAGGAGGACCTGAAACGGCTTGGCTTAGAGTCAGGTAAGACAACAGCAAGACACTTTAAAACTAACGTCCCAGGTCGCGCTGAGGGACCTTTTCATTGCTTCCATATAGGAGTTACGTACTTGAAATGATACTAGTGTTTTAATTGTGTATCATGGTCTTATTTAGAATGTAGACTTTGAAGAGCTTGTGTTTTGTGCTGTTGCTGTTGTGGTTGTTGTTTTGTTGTTGACGTACCATCTCCCAGTATATCCTGGACTAGTCTTGAACTTGTGGGCTTCCTATGTAGGCCTTCTGAAATTAAAAAGCACGAGCCACCATACCTGGCTTGTTTTACTTTTTACAGTATGTATTTACCTATCTGTTTGTGATGATGGAAGTGTAGAGTTTAGAGGACAGCTTGGAAAAGTCGATTCTCTCCTTGCACCATGTGGATCACACTCGGGTCACAAAGCTCAGTGGCAAGGGTCTTAAGGCACTGAGCACTTGCTGGCCCCATGTTTTGCTTTTAATGCTTCATCTTTTGGTACCTTTGTTCATATCGGCTGTGTTACTTTAACGGTTCCCTAGTCCTAGCCTAGCTGAATGATTCGTTTCCAAAACCTTAGGCTTTTTAGATACTCATTGTTATAGGTACTACTCATTTAAAAAATCCACATTATAATTATATATTAACCGACTTTACCTCCGGCAGGCAGATTATTTTGAGGGTTGGTAACGGGTGTTATTGAATGTTTCCATATGGTTGAACTGAGGCTCTAAAGCAGAAAGTTTTTGTGAGCTTTCTTCCATAACAAATTTTATCAGTTACTTTTCTGGTTACAAGACACCTGTCAGGAGCAACTTAGAGGATAAACGTTCAGCTGTGGGCAGTTTCAGAGGTTTGAGTCTACTGAGACTGGGCTGGCACAGTGGTGGGTAAACGAGATGGATGCTGTTTCCCATGATGCAGGCCAGAGCCCTGCAGGTAGATAGAAATGTAGAGAGCGGGTCACCACTGATGTCCCTCCACCAACCAGGCCCCCCTCCTAAAGCTCCACAGCAAGCCGGTTGGCAGTGGCGCACGCCTTTAATCCCAGCACTTGGGAGGCAGAGGCAGGTGGATCTCTATGAGTTCGAGGCCAGCCTGGTCTATAAGAGCTAGTTCCAGGACAGGCTCCAAAGCTACAGAGAAACCCTGTTGGGGGAGGGGGAGATCTACAGTAAGCTGGGAGCCAAGTTCTTAAACCAGATATAGAGTGTGTGTTTGTGTATGTGTGTGTATGTATATATATTGTTGTTTAATGTGTAACCCAGGTTGGCCTTGAACTTGTGATTCCCCTGCCTCCGCCTCCTTCAGCAAATCCTACTGGTGTGCACCACCACAACCAGCTAGAGTAGATCTTGATTGTTGGCCTAGTAGTTCAGGTGGTCAGATAATTTGGTTTTGGATTTTGTGAAGCACTGACTTTATTGCCCTTAACTAGACAGCATGAATGAGGAGTTCCTTATAGGCACATGGGTGACCCTGAAAGAGCGGCATCATCACAGAAGCTTGCCCCATCCTGGGCTCCCCTGCACCATGGAGCCTCTTTTCAGTTAGCCTTTCTTTCCCTTCAGCACCTCCCCAAATCCCTGGTGGAACATGATGGACTAATAGCCTATCCGCGTGTAGTTGACCGTCACCGTGTCAGTTGTCTTCTCAGCAACAAGATGGCGGTGGGTGATCACAATCTCTCCACCTCTTTCCTGAGGGAGGTTTGCTGAGCCTTGCAGGAGGCGGGGCAGAGAAGAGCCCTGTAGAGCATTGGGTTTACATGCTATGTTGTCACTTATTCTCAGTAATTTAGCCAGTTTTGACTCTCTATTAATAACCATGGCCACTGTAAGAAATCGCCTTCCGCAAACGAGGAGAACTGGCACAGTCGTACTGTTGGCCACCTGACTAGCACCTTGTGATACAATACAAGCCATTGCAGAGGGGGCTTCCTGCTCAGTTCCAGCCAAATTTTTCAGCGTGAAGTATACTCTAGTCTCTAATGAAAAGAACTCTTAATTATGGTTTTAAGCAGAATATTGCTTTCATGAAATAAGAATAATTGTCAGTTTAATGTGTTCTAATGTTAGTGTTTAAGGAAAAGAAGGGGCATGTAGTTCCAAAAAGCCATTTATTTATTAATAAATGAGGGTCTCACTGGTTAATTTGAACTAGCCTCAAACAGGTTCCCAATTTCTGGAATTAAAAGCATGCATCATTACACCCAACTGAATATAAAGCATTTTGAGAGGAAAAATTAGTTAGGTATCTTCTGGACAGTTGGAGAAGTGTTAGTTGGAAATTAATCTCACTAATTTAATGTATATATAGATTAAAAGATTCCATTTGAGTGCCATTTTAAGGTTTTTGTTTGTTTGTTTTTGTTTTGTTTTGTTTTTTTTTGGACAGGGTTTCTCTGTGTAACCCTGGCTGTCCTGGAACTCACTCTGTAGACCAGGGTGACCTCAAATTCAGTAGACCAGGCTAGCCTCAAGATCCACCTACCTGGCTTTGCCTCCCACGTGCTGGGATTAAAGGTGTGCACTACCTCACTCAGCACAGATTAATTTTGATTATACATAAACATATCTCCCTGTCCATGATGGGGATGTTGGTTTGTCTCTTTTGATATAGAGTCTCACAGTATAGCTCTGGCTAGCCTGGAGCTCACTTTGTAGCCTAGGCTGGCTGAGATTCCAGATGTGAGCCACTATGCCCCTGTGGCATCCTTCTGGATTATATGTATTGTGTTCTGTGAAAGATCTGCACTCCCACGCATGCCATTCATCACAGCACTCAGGAGATAGAGGCAGGCCGTCTCTGAGCTCGAGGCCAGCCTGGTCTACAGAGCGAGTTCCAAGGCTACACAGAGAAACCCTGTCTCGAAAAAGAGAGAGAGAGAGAAAAGAATGCTGTAGTTTCTTCTGTATGATTCTTTTTGTGTTTGTTTTTCTCTGTAAGTTCATCTTCTGGATAAGAAATCTGATAACAAAGGATGAATGTATTATAGTATAGCTGATGGTAAGCTAACTACAAATGTTAGACTGATTTGCATTTTTTCTAGAAATAAAACGTTTTTAATTGGTACTGGAAGTGTTAGCAATCTTATGAGCAGAAAGCCAGAAAACAGTGTTTTTACGTTCATGTACGTACTGTAGGTGAGAGTGGGATTTCATCATACTTTACAGATTAATCTATAAAAAGAAACTATTATTTGCATTTCTTTGAATATTAGTAAAAGAAAATGTTTATTCTCTGTTAGGATGTTTGATTTTTATTGAGTTATCATTAGAGATATTAACTTGTTTGTTAGTTTTTCCTTTTTTTTTAAATATTTATTTATTTATTATGTATACGATATTCTGTCCGTGTGTATGTCTGCAGGCCAGAAGAGGGCCCCAGACCTCATTAGATGGTTGTGAGCCACCATGTGGTTGCTGGGAATTGAACTCAGGACCTTTGGAAGAGCAGGCAATGCTCTTAACCACTGAGCCATCTCTCCAGCCCCCAGTTTTTTCCTTTTTTTTTTTTGGCATGTATGTTTTTGGTTTTGTTTCTTTTCATTGTATTTTACAAAAAAATTTAATCATGTTGAATTTAACAGTATTTTTTTAGGGTTTTTTTGTTTTGTTTTGTTTTTTGTTTTTAGGTGTTTTGTTTTGTTTTCAGGTAGTTTTGGCCTGGAAGGCTTTTGTTTGGCTGTTTTGTTTTTCCAGACAGGGTTTCTCTGTGTAGCCCTGGCTGTCCTGGAATTCACTCTAGTCCAGGCTGGCCTCAGACCCAGAGATTTGTCTACCTCAGCTTCCCAAGTGCAGGGGTTAAAGGCGTGCACCACTGCCCAGTTTGGCCTAGAATTCATATTGGTGTGAAGCAGTGAGAAGCCAGTGGGAAGTAGCTTAATAGCTTTGCCTTTGTAACTTGTTGTTGGCATGTCCCAGTGGCTAAGAACCCTTGATAACTAAAGATGGTCTTTAACTCCTAAGTCTCCTGCCTCTACCTCTCAAGTACTAGGAGGCATACACCGTCACTTTTATTTGGGGTTTTTTTGAGATAGGGTTTCTCTGTAGCTTTGGAGCCTGTCCTGGAACTAGCTCTTGTAGACCAGGCTGGCCTCGAACTCACAGAGATTAGCCCTCCTTTGCCTCCCAAGTGCTGGGATTAAAGGCATGCGCCACCACCATCCAGCTAAGTTACCCCTTCTTATCTTTTTTTCTAGACATTCCACAGCCAAGTATATCACCAGTGACCAGCACTGTCCAGCCCACCCCTCCATCAAATCAACAGAAAGAGAAGAAAAAGAAAAAGGAAAAGAAAAAGAAAGACTCTTCGAAGGGTAGATGGGTGGAAGGCGTAACGGCTGATGGTCACTGTTACTATTACGACCTCATCACAGGAGGTATGCTGTTAAAGCGTAGAATACTAGAAAATAGAAAAACGGTTTATCTGTTGAGATTTTTATTTAATATTTATTTAATATTGGCATATGTTAAACAGTAAAAAAGTAACTTCCTTTTTCCACAAAGCTTAGAAAGTTATAATTTCAACATTCAGAAGGGTGACCACAAATTAGAGACTAGCCTAGAATACATAGTGGGACCCATGCCAGGTTCGGGTAAAGAAAAGAAAAGAAGCTGTAATAAGAGTACCCTGCTTATTGCAAATCAGTGCCATGGTTAAAGTTTCATAAATTCCTAGCTGAGCTTGGTGCACACCTTTAATCCCAGCACTAAGGATGCAGAGGCAGATGGGTCTCTGTGAGTTCAGGGCCAGCATGGTTACAGAGGAAGTTCCAAGACAGCCAGAGCTGTTGTAGAGAGACCCCGTCTTGAAAAACCTAACCAAAAAAGAAAATCTTTTCAGTTTCTTACAAATTTCCACTTTCTTGATTAACAAATCGGAGCTGTGCAGAAATATAGCACTTCACCTGAAGGTCAGACTTTTCACATCTGTGTCAGTCTGTGTCCTAACCTACACGGGTCTTGGAATAAAATGCCAATAGGAAAGATTTTGTTGTTTTCCCCCATGACACAGGGTTTCTCTGTACAGCTCTGCCTGTCCTAAAACTCACTCTGTAGACCAGACTGGCCTCCAACTCACAGAGATCCACCTCCCCTTGCCTCCCTAGTGCTTGGCTTAAAGGCCAAGCAACCACCACTTGGATGGAAAGGTTTTCTAACTAGGAACTTTGGAAACCAAAAGCTAAATTTTTTTTTTTTTGCATAGCTGTCTTGATTGACTATTTAATTTTCCTCTTTGGGCTGGTGAGGTGATTCAGTGGGTGAGGTATCTGCCTCTAAGCCTGACGACCTGGGTTTAGTCCCCAGAACCCACATGGTAGAAAGAGAGAGCAATCTCCCACAAATCGTCCTTTGAGAATTTTCCTTCATATTAGTGTTTTGGGTTTTTTTTTTTTTTTTTGGTTTTTTGAGACAGGGTTTCTCTGTGGCTTTGGAGCCTGTCCTGGAACTAGCTCTTGTAGACCAGGCTGGTCTCGAACTCACAGAGATCCACCTGCCTCTGCCTCCCGAGTGCTGGGATTAAAGGCGTGCGCCACCACCGCCCGGCTGATCATATTAATGTTAAATACCAGTTTCAGTAAAGTATATGAGTTTTTCAATAAGAATATTAAAAACATTTTTTTGTATTCTCTTAAAACTTAATACATTTTTAAATATCCCATGAATATTCTGGGGCAAAGAAATTGATTTATATTATCCTCCAGAAATACATAATTTATGGAAGAAATAAGTAAATTTTTTTATTGTAGTTCAACAGCAGATCAATCAGAAATAGACACGGGGTGGGAAGGGTGTTGGTTTTTCAGATTGACTTTGAAGCTATTTTTCGTTTCGGTCTTTCTATGCTACCTTTCTTCACCATCTTATTATATGTATTCTTATTCTCTATTCTTCATTTCTCACCCTCTATTTACCCAAGACAACAGAAAGCCATCCCTTTCCTTCAAAACCTACCAAGCCAACTATTTCTACATGGGACGTGAGACACAAAGAACTAACTGATTCTTACTACTGATATACTAGCTCAGATGTGAAAGTGAGGGACGGAAAAGGCCCTCAAAAGACCGTCTTGCTGTGTGAGCCTGGCTGGACACTCACGGAGATCCGCCTACCTCTGCCTCCCCAGTGCTGCCGTTAAAAGTGTGTGCCACAAGCTGGGCGGTGGTGGCGCATGCCTTTAATCCCAGCACTGGGGAGGCAGAGACAGGTGAATCTCTGTGAGTTCAAGGCCAGCCTGATCTACAGAGTGAGTTCGAGGACAGGCTCCAAAGCTACAGAGAAATCCTATCTCGAAAAACCAAGTAAAAAGAAAGGATGTGCCACCACACCTGGGAAATTGTGTGTTTTAAGGACTTACACAAGGTTTGCCTGGCCTCAAACTCACAGCAGTGCTCGACTCAGCGTTTCAAATGTATCACTATTCACGTAGACTCCATTTTTAGGTGAATAGGTGTCTTACTTTTGTGTTGCTGTGACAAGCACCATGACCAAAGCAATTTATAAAAGAAAGCATTTATTTGGGCTCACATCTCAGGTTAAAAGTCCATAACCATCATGGCCAGGAGCATGGCAACAGGCAGGCATGTGTTGGAGCAGTAACTGAGAGCTTACATCTCATCCACAGCCAGGAGGCAGAGAGAGTGAGCAAACTGGGAATGGTGTAGGCTTTGGAGACCTCAAAGTCTCCACCCCAGCAACACATCTCCAAGAGGGCCACACTTCTAATCCCTCCCAAATAGTTTCACCAGCTGGCGACCAAGTGTTCAAATATATGAGCCTCTGGGCCATTCTCATGTAAACCACAATAACAAGGCGTCTCACAGAAGAAGTAAGCACATAAAAATGGTAAGAAAGAAAGAAAGAAAGAAAGAAAGGAAGAACCTCTAAGAAAAGTTCTACCAGGCCCTAGTAATTACTGTGGGAGTTTCAGTAACTCTTGACCATGCTGCCATTTCTAAGTTATGTAGCATTCACAAGTATTCTGTGCAGTACCACTAAGGATATATGTTGTTTCTTTCATTTTTTTTCAGTAATAAACTATTTTGTAGTGTTTCATACATAATAAGGACTTTTGTGGATTTTTACCTAATTAGATTTTGGGGAATTGTTTTATTTTAAAGCAAAATTGTTTTAAAATGTATTTTGTTTTAAGCATCTCAGTGGGAGAAGCCAGAAGGATTTCAAGGGAACCTAAAAAAGGTAATTATAACATATTTATGCTGTCTTTGCTTTATTCTCTCAAGTGATTGGGTTCTGGAGTCGGCAAGTTGGGTTGGGTGGCTGATTGGCTTTGTGGTGCTGGGGATTAGTCCTAGGCCTTGTGAATGGCCACATGTTACCCCTGAGCCAACAAGCCCTGGCTGCTGTGGCTTTTTGTAGAATTTTGGTAAACAAATTTATTTCCAAATAAGCAGGTTCTCTTCAACCCCCCAGCTTGGCTTCTTTCTTCCTGTAATCCTTGTGTTAGAAGGCTGAGTAGAGCTGGAACAGGTATATCTGTACACACACACATACATACACAACCATACAGGATAAATGATTAGTCAATTTGCAGTTGCTTCTTGTTTACATGTCTGTCCAACTGGACAGAATTCCTGGCTTTGAGAGAGGAGACACTTTTTGTTTGAAGTTAGTAGTGGCTAGAAAAAACCAGGCTGCGTTGCCATGATCTTTATCATCACTCTTTACTCCAGGTGCCAGGTGGAAAAGACAGGATAGCACATTTGCCTTCGTTAGTCAGTAGATAGCGACTGTCATTGTTCTCACTGTGTTGTTTTTTCCCTCCTATTAGACAGCAGCAAAGGCCATTTGGGTAGAAGGTTTAAGTGAAGATGGTTACACCTATTATTATAATACAGAAACAGGAGGTGAGTATTACCTTTGACTTTTTTTGTTTTGTTTTGTTTGGTTGGTTGGTTTTTGGAGACAGGGTTTCTCTGTAGCTTTTGGAGCCTGTCCTGGAGCTAGCTATTGTAGACCAGGCTGACCTCGAACTCACAGAGATCCACCTGCCTCTATCTTTGATTATTTTAACTTAAAATTGTACCCAAAACTGCATATGAGCTATTCTGTACCAAGTACATATATATGTATTGCTATGTATGTATTAATATATACTGTGCATCAATGTTTTTCCTCTTTTTTTTTTTTAAATGAATTTATGCTCACTATATGTGAGCCTGGTACCCAAGGAAGCCAGAAGAAGGCATCAGATCCCCTGGAACTGGAGTTACGGGTGATTTTGAGTTACCATGTGGGTGCTGGAATTGAACCCTGATCCTCCCTGAGAGCAACAAAAATTAACTGTTGAACTGGGTAGTGGTGGCGGCGCATTCCTTTAATTCCAGCACTCAGAAGGCAGAGGCAGGTGTATGAGTAGGAGGCCAGCCTAGTCTACAAAGCAAGTTCCAGGATAGCCAGGGTTCTTACACAGAGAAACCCTATCTCAAAACAAACAAAAGGCATTTGCAAGTTAAAAAAAAAATCAACTCTCTAAAATTGCTGAGTCTCATGATTGATTTAATAATTTTCCTTCTAAGTACCTATAGTTATCCCCTAGTTTGACTTTTGTCGTGGTGAGGATGAAACTTGAGAGCCAGTGCATGCTAGCATGTGCCCTCTTATTGACCTACACCTAGGCCTTCACCATTTTCATTTAGGAAAACAAAACTGAGCCAGCGGTGGTGGCGCAGGCCTTTCATCCCAGCACCTAGGAGGCAGAGGCAGGTGGATCTCTGTGAGTTCGAGGTCTGCCTGGTCTGCAAAGTGAGTTCTAGGACAGCCAGAACTGTTACACAAAGAAACCCTGTCTTGAAATACAAAACAAAAACAAAAGCCTTGTGTTAGAGATGTTGTTTAATGGGTAGAGTGTTTGCAGAGTCCTGGATTTAACCTATAGTATTACAAATTCAGGTATGGGTATTAGGAAGGTGACCTGTTAGGTAAAGATCTTGCTGTGCAAGTGTGAGGGCCTAGACCCATATAGCAAGGTGTAAGGTGTGGATGCAAGCACCTGTAACCCTAACGCTGGGGAAACAAACGAGCAAATCCCAGGGCTTGTTGTGTGGAGGTAGAGCAGGCAGACCTTGAACTCACGGAAATCCTTCTGCCTCTGTCTCCTCGTCTCCTTCACTCTTAAAATCGTCTCAGTTGGGTAACAAATTGTATAGTTCCTCTCCTTTTCATTTAACTAGACGTAGAGACGAGACTGTTAGAGACTTGGCTGGCTCTAAAACCGTGGTCAGCCAGTTGAGACCCCTTTACGGTGACAGTAGTGTGTATTCATCTCTTCACTCTGCTGTGGGGGCTCCAGAAAATCCTACCATAAGTTTCAAAAAATACTCTGGAAAGTCATTTTCAGTTTGTTTCTTGAAATTGTTTTCAGGTAACTGAAGATGTTTAAGACATATCACCCACTTCCCCAGTTCCTTCCCATTGGAGTTAGGGTTTATGAGTTTAGTAAGTGCAGGTTTGTCCTATGTTTCTGAGTGATAGAAAAAAAATGAGAGGTTTTTGAGCACTTCATAAAGTGTGTGTGTGTATAATGCGGTATTATTTAGTAATTGTACATGATAAAGTTATATTGCTAAGTATTGCTAAATAAGTAATACCATTATTAAAATGTGTTGATCAGAATCCAGGTGGGAAAAGCCTGATGACTTCATTCCCCACACTGGAGATGGGCCTTCGAGTAAGGACAGTGAAAAGTCACCTGACACCCCGGAAGAGTCCAAATCCTCAGATTCCCACAGTGACTCTGACGGCGAACAGAAGAAGGCCGGGGAGGCTGCTGCAGACACGAAGAAACTAGTCATCAAGTTCAAGGTAAAATCCAAGAGGATCTGTTAAGAAAAATCATGCCCGGGGATGTGGTTGTATGTACATTCGATCCCAGCACTTGGGAAGCAGAGGCAGGCAGCTCTCTTGAGTTTGAGGCCAGCTGATCTACATAGGGAATTCCAGGTCAGCCACACAACACAGTGAGGCCCTGTCTAGAAAAAAGGAGTGAGAAAATCATGTTGCTTATCATGTGGCATGTTCTGGTGATCTCAGTTCTTGGGAAGCTAAGATGGGATATTAGAATAGAAGTTCAGGACCAGCAAGGGCTACATACAGGATGAGCCCCATGTAGAATACAGAAGAAATTCCAAGCAAGCTCCCCATGGATGGTAGTTTACAGATGCCGAAAACCTAGTACGTGGATGGTGTACACACCAGAGTGGGAAGTCTTTCCCACAGTGAAGATAGGTGTCTTTTATGGGGGCTGCTTCTGCCCCAAGGGGGAGTTAGTCTATTCCAACCACCACTTAAACACCTGAGACAGTTTCTCTGTGCAGCACTGGCTGTCCTAGCGTTTGCTCTGTAGATCAGTCTGACCTCAAACTCACAAATATTTTCCTGCCTCTACCTTCACAGTCTGGTAAAAAGCATGCACCACCACTGCCTTTATGTACCATCATGGTACATGTTTTAAAAGTATCATTAAACATATGCATTAAAATTTCAGATAGTGGAAACCCTGATCAAGTTCTTCCGTGCACATTTATTGTTATGTGAAAACTTAAAACCATTAATGAATGACTGTTATTCTTAAGAAAACCTTTTAAGGAAATTTGGGGATTGTCTATAGCAGTTCTGCTGGAAGTGTGTTGTTTATTTTTATTGGCCTTTGCATTTCAGGAAAAAAATAAAAGTACTGAAAAAAGAACTGACCCAGAAATACAAAAAGAAAAAAGTACCCCAAAACAGAATCCATCAAATACAAGTGAAGAAAAGCCTAAAACGCTTAAGAAATCAACGAACCCTTATGGGGAATGGCAAGAAATTAAACAAGAGAGTGAGTCTCAGTAAGTACCTGGGAGGTCATCCCCTGCTGTGCCCGAGCACCTCAAGTATGCTGTGCTCCTTAGAATTGTAGCTCTCTTTGCATTTCTAGAATAGTTTGTTTTAACAGATGAAACAGCAGTTGTTTTAAAGCAAGGGAGTGATTGTCCTACCAAAGCCTGACCACATTCACACACTCATCATTTTTATCACAAAAACAAATACTTGCAGTAAATACTTTGCAAAATACTTTAGCTATAGAATGTGTTTGAAGGCAAAGCTTTTGTCCTCTTATTCTCTTGAAATGTCTCGCTATACTTCTAAGTTTGTTTGTGTTTTTTTTAAATATATTTAACTTTATTTTATGTGCATTGGCATCAGATCCTCTGGAACTGGAGTTACAGACAGTCGTGAGCTGCCCTGTGGGTTCTGGGAATTGAACCTGGGTCCTTTGGAAGAGCAGCCGGTGCTCTTAACTATGGAGCCATCTCTCCAGTCCCAAAGTTTTTTATGTGGGTGTGGATTTTGTTCTGGTTGGTTTGTTTTTTGAGTCTTACTCAGCCTCAGACTAGCCTTGAACTCCTTATCTGGCCCCACCTCATGGGTTCCAGTATTAACAGGTGTGCGCCACCATAGCTGACACTTCCAAATCTTTTTTTTTTTAAATATTTATTTATTTATTATGTATACAATATTCTGTTTGCGTGTATGTCTCCAGGCCAGAAGAGGGCACCAGACCTCATTACAGATGGTTGTAAAACACCATGTGGTTGCTGGGAATTGAACTCAGGACCTTTGGAAGAGCAGGCAGTGCTCTTAACCTCTGAGCCATCTCTCCAGCCCCCACTTCCAAATCTTTAAACTCATATTGAAGGCAGAAGAGTTTGTCAACAGTTTAGCATAATTGTGCTAAAGATGATACCTGATTAATGGTCCTGGCTTAACTGCTCAAATGAGTTTTCTTTTTAGAGGCATTTATTTTACCAGGTAAATAAAATCACTCCCAGGCATTTTAGTATTTCTTTAATAAGAATTTTTATTTTTTAAAGATCTATTTATTTGTTATGTATACAACATTCTGCCTCCTTGTATGCCTGCATACCAGAGGAGGGCGCCAGATCTCATTACAGATGGTTGTGAGCCACCATGTGGTTGCTGGGAATTGAACTCAGGACTTCTGGAAGAGCAGCCGTGCTCTTAACCACTGAGCCATCTCTCCAGCCCCATTTTAGTATTTTTTTAACCCTTAAAAGGAATCTTCCGCCAGGTGGTGGTACACGCCTTTGTCTTTCATCCCAGCACTTGGGAGGCAGAGTCAGGAGGATCTCTGTGAGTTTGAGGCCAGCCTGGTCTACAAGAGCTAGTTCCAAGACAGACTCCAAAGCTACAGAGAAAAACAACAATAGAAACCTTCCAGGTGAAGTAGGAAAGGTGTATGGGTAAAGCAGATATTCTTTAAAACACTACTTTGAAGGATAGTGTAGAATGAATCCTTTTTATGCACTTTCATAGTGAATTTTTTTTTTTTTTTTTTTTTTTTTTTTTTTTGGTTTTTCGAGACAGGGTTTCTCTGTGGTTTTGGAGCCTGTCCTGGAACTAGCTCTTGTAGACCAGGCTGGTCTCGAACTCACAGAGATCCGCTTGCCTCTGCCTCCCAAGTGCTGGGATTAAAGGCGTGCGCCACCACCGCCCGGCTTCATAGTGAATTATTAATTATTAAAATTCTTGGCCGAGGGTGGGTTGCACACTGATGGCACCACCACGTGGGAGACAGAGGCAGGATTTGCTTCAAAAGCATGGACTACAGAGTGAATCTTAACTCAAAGCTACCAGAACCCAAACTATACCCTGCTTTTTAATGAAAAGGCTGTACTTCTTTCATAGTGAAATAATGGAAGTATTGAGCAACTCTGTATACCAGACTTTATCCCCAGCTATAACATTGGTGCCTCTCCCTGGAAGTTACTGGAGCATTCGGCCAGTCCATTACTATCTTCAGTTCTTGTCACTTAAAACAGGAAGATGGTTTTTTACCCACTTATGTGTGAGAAAGGATTGGGTGATATATAAGCAAGGAAAAGAGACTGGGAGGAGAGGTTACAGCAGGAGGTTGGCGGGGGTGGGGGGCAGAGAATGAGGGAATGAGGAAAGGAGAGTCTGCTGAAGCACTTCATTCAGATACCTTATAAGTTGAGGTAACATTTTTTAATTAAAAAGTAGGAAAATTGTCCTCTGTCATCATCTCCTATTTCAAAATTGATGTATCTTTCTAATGCTGGTTAAATTTCAGGCTAGCTAGACTGTACAAGCTTTCTTCTCAGACTGTTTTTGGACTGCCCGCCTGTAAATAATGACCTGGAGACTTGGCCTTAGCTTGGGCTTTTTTCCCAACTAGCTCTAATAACTTAATTAACCTGTATTTTTTTAATCTGCATTCTGCCACATTTCTCGATTACCTCCTCTTAGTATGGCACATCTGACTTGCTCAGAATCTCCTGGTGAAATTGGGCACCTAGATTCCCCCTTCTAAAATATCTCTCTCTCTCCTGCCTAGCTATTGGCCATTTACCTCTTTTTTAAACCAATCAAGAGGTGCCTTAGGCAAAGACACCTTTACAGTATAAAAAAATTCCACAACCTAGGCAGCTTAGTATGTAATAGATTGTTTCCAACTTTATAAGTAGATTAACCTAGTTTCTTTTTTTCTGTATTTACTTATTTAGATTTTTCAAGACAGTGTTTCTTTGTGTAGCCTTTGCTGACCTGGAACTTTCTCTGTAGATCAGACTGTCCTCAAACTCTGTAACATCGTCTAAATTGAATTAAATTTAAACTTAAAAAGAGCTAAAACAGTCCTGGTTAACTTTTGTCATGGACCAGTTCTTACTCCCAAGCTCATCACTAGTAATTCCTGATGAACATGGCCTGAACTGAGTGGTTTCTGAAGGGAAAGGCTAATAGAGCAAATGCTGATGGAGAGGAGGCTTCTACAGAGAATCTGCTCTGTGTCAGTGTTGATACAGAGCATCAGCCAGAGTACCTGCTCCAGCTGCCTCCTGCAGGGTCTGCTGTACAGAAGACAGCGAGGACAGCCATCAGAGAATAGAAGTTAAAGCTTTTATTTATCATTAACTTGTTATGGGTGCTTATTGCTCTTGGAGAGGACTTGGGTTTGGTTCCCAGCATCCTCATGATAACTAATAACCATCTGTAACTCTGGTTCCAGAAGATCTGATACCTCCTGGCCTCTGTGGACACTTCACACATGCCGTATGCAGACATACCTGCAAGCAAAATATCTATCACACATAAAATAAGAATAAAATCTAAAGGGGGCTCTGAGAAGCATGTTTTCAAAAAATTGGATTCTTCATCTCCCGTCTCTGATTTTCTATTTGCCTGATTTATTCTCTAGCTACTGAATTCTGCTCTCCAAAAAGGATATTTGGTCCCCGGCAGACTTTATAGTCTCAGCCACTGAATATGATGATCTTTCTGCTCTGTGTTCAGAACTCTCATGGGTGGATTTGATGAGCTAGCTCTTTCATAGACTAGTTCACTATCTAGAACAGTGATTCTCAATATGTGGGTCGCAAATCCTTGGGCGTCGAATGACCTTTCACAAGGGTCTCCTAAAGCCATTGGAAAACACAGATATTTATATCAAGATTCATAACAGTAGCAAAAATTACAGTTAGGAAGTAGCAGTGAAAATAGTTTTTTTTTTTTAAAGATTTATTTATTTATTATGTGTACAGTATTCTCAGTATTCTGTCTGCATGTATGCCTGCGGCCAGAAGAGGGCACCAGACCTCATTACAGATGGCTGTGAGCCACCATGTGGTTGCTGGGAATCAAACTCGGGACCTTTGAAAGAGCAGGCAGTGCTCTTAACCACTGAGCCATCTCTCCAGCCCTGAAAATAGTTTTATGATTTGGGGGGGGTGAGGTCACCACAGCATGAGGAAGTGTATTAAACGGTCACAGCGGTTGAGAACCACTGATCTAGGGGATAGGGTGCTGATTTCTGATCTAGCCAGATTGTTTTTTACTGACCATGTGGATAGTCGAAGGGCTATTTCTCAATATAAAAACATGCTAGCAAGTAATTCATTGAGTCTACCATAACAGGAGATTAAGGTTCCATTCTTTTCCATCTTGTGTTATGTGAACCTTCAGAATCTCTGTGTTTATACTGCATAGCGTATATATGAGTGGAGTGTTTTCTAAGATGCTGTATCCTTTGTGCACAGAAACAGAACAGATGAGCCCTGTCCTAGCCCATGTCAGTCAGAGTTCAGTGTGTTGAGACTAAATCAGTATTTTAAATCACCTGGAGCTAAGCAGTGCTCCTAACCCAGGCCAGAGGCTCAGGAACTCAAGGTCACCCACATGGACATTAGAAGTACAGGGTTAGACAGGACTACCTGAGACCCTGTCTCAGAAAAGCCAGAGCAGGAGCAGCATAGTGTTCCTGATGACCAGCCTCGGATCCCCTCTTGTTACGGTTGGCTTGTGGTGCTTCACTGGCTCATGGTTTCTATGCAGATATTTACCTAATCTGTCAGGTTATAGTTTAGATTTCTTTCTGTTCCAGGGAAGAGGTCGATTTGGAACTTCCAAGCACTGAAAACGAATATCTGTCAACTTCAGAAGCTGCTGCTGGAGAAATCAAAGTGGTATTTAAAGAAAAAACGGTCTCTTCTCTGGGAGTTGCAGCAGATGGGGTGGCTCCAGTCTTCAAAAAGAGAAGAATTGAAAATGGGAGATGTCGGAATTTAAGACAGCGCGGTGACGATGAGTGAGTGACTGGACAAAGGAGACGGCCCTTTCCGAGCCTCTCTGTGCTTTGCGTACTATAGTGCTGCAGTTTACATTTCTGCTAAATGTATTTTATGTGACTCAGAATAAACCTTTTTTCATGTGAAATTTATTTTTGTTCCTTAAGTGGAAGCCTACCACATTGCATTGTAATACAGTGTATTATGTTCAATGTCTAAAATTGCTAATTATATGATAATTTAAGATGCTATGTATCTGTTATTTAAAATGTGGGGAAGACCCTAGCTCTGTCCTTACTCATATTAGCATACCTTGTCCTGCATTGAAAATGCATTATTTCCACACACTGAAATTAACCTGTTACCTGGGAAATAAGAATCAAACACAGACGTGCACAGCCCCATGGCAGTCTGGTTTTATGGTCCTTTCTGAAGCCTGGATGTAGTATGCATAGCAACTTGTTTTACTCAGTTTAAGACCAAAGACCAGAAGCAGGAGCCTCTTGGGTACTAAAGAGCAGAGTGACGGCTGGACCAGGGGTCAGCTTATAGCAGCAAAGTGTGAAAAGGGTTAACTTGGAGCCAAGCATCAGGGAACTAGAGATGGAAATGCAGCTTCTGCCTTGACATTCTAGAACAGTCCTTTCCCAGTCAGGCCAACTTTTCATAGCCCTGGGTCCATTGGAAGGTTTACCTAAGGTAATGTAAACAAAAGGCTTGAACTAAAATAGACTTTGTGGTCCACTTAGATGGTTGCCATTTTGTGGCTGCATTTCTTAGTAGAAGTTTCATACTCTATTTGAAGTACTTTCCTTTATTATTTTTGCATATTTTTAATTATATTTAGCTGTACAGTATGTAACTTTTGATAGAAAATATTTGTCTTTGTTAGTATACATGTAAGAATAGCTTATTAAAACCATAAATTAAATATTGGGATCCTTTTTTCTAACATGAATCAAAGCTTGTCATTGGCAAAAAAATATTTAGAGATTAATCTTTGCAATTATTCAGGCCTAAACTTTATATTTCGAAGCATTTTACAGTTTATTTTGTGAAGAGTCTTGCTGTATTGCCTAGGCTGACCTCAAATCCAGATTCTTAGGTCTAAGATTACTCAGGAGTTCTGAAATTAACAGGTATACCATCACACCTGAGTGTTTGATAGTTGAGGTTTTTTGTTGTTTCCAAGACAGGGATTTTCTCTGTTGCTTTGGGGCCTGTCATGAATGGAACTAGCTCTTGTAGTTGAGGTTTTATTGTTCTTTGACTGGGGTGGTCAAGGGTTTTTGATTCAGGGTCTCCCTGTATACCCTAGGCTGCCTTCAAACTCGTAGTTAACATTTTACCTAAACCTTAGTGGCCTTAGTGCTGGGATTACAGGCATGAGCCAACAGACCCCTCTGGTTTACTGGGTTTTGGGGGTTGGGTTTTGGGGTTTTATTTTTGTTTGATGTGTTTTTTGAGACCCTCCTGTCTCCCAGGCTAGCCTGGAACTCCCTAGGTAGATTGGCCGAAGATGACTGTTTGAACTTACGGTCCTCCTGTTTTCTGCTACCCCAGAGCTGGGATTGTAATTGTATGCTACCCCTCCTGGTTTATATGGTGCTGGATTGTGTTGGTCAAGCACCAACTGAGCCATATTCTACCGTGTTTTTAAATTTCAATAGGTCATTTGTCATGTAGCCGAGGAGTATGTATCATTAGTCCTTGGCACTTCTCAACTGGAAAAGACCAAAAGTGGAGTGTATTTATGCTTTAGTCACGCTTGGCTCCTGGAAAACGCAGTATCGAAGACCTTTGTTAAATTTGTTTGTATTTGTTTCTTCTGAGACAGGGTCTCACAGTGTATCCCTGGCAGGCCTGGACTATGTGGATCTGCCTGGCACTCACAGTGAACCTACTTAACTCTGCCTCTCAAGTGTTAGGATTAAAGATATTTACCACAGACCTGGTCCCCCAGGTTGTTTTGAGGGGTAATGGAATTAGTGTATGCATAAGGCACTTGGGGAATGCCTGTAGTAGCTCAAACTCATCTACTGTTAATACTTAGAGTATATACAGATGGACACAAAGTAAAAATAAAAATAAACAAGGACCAAGTTCCTACCCACCTACACGACTTAGTCCTTTTTCCTTGTCCCGCCTCTCTCATTGAGTCCCAACGTCCATATGTAGTCATGCTGAGTGTGCCTGCTTCACTTCACAACAGCAATTAAAGCTACTGGCTTTTAGTCCTCAAAATAGCTTAAATTCCCCGGGTAATGGTAATGATGGCTATACAGTGTGGCTGGACTAGCTGGGGACATGGTTTAGTCATTGAGTGCTTGCCTACCATTCCTAACACCCTAAGTCAGTCTCCAGTACATACACATGCACACACACATGCGGAGTATCTAGTGATACTCCACTGTAAATACGGGCTAGAGAAATTCCTCAGGACTCCTCAGGAAAACCTTAGTTCACATCCAGAGCTTCCCCCGTTTTTAAAATAGCTTTTATTTTATGGGCATTGGCGTTTTGCCTGGTCTGTGTGGGAGTGTCAGATCCTGAGTTACAATGTAAGCTGCCATGTGGGTGCTGGGAATTGAACTCAGGTGCTCTGGAAGAGCAGTCAGTGCTCTTAACCGCTGAGCCATCTCTCCAACTCCAGAACCCCCTTTGTAAAATGTCAGCTATAGCGAGGCCGTGGTGGCATGTGACTTTAATCCCAGCACTTGGGAGTCAGATCCAAGTTCAAGACCAGAGAAGTCTGTAGAACAAGCTCCAGGACAGCCAGGGCTATACAGAGAAACGCTGTCTTGAGAAACCAAGCTAGCTAGGGTGCCTCCCTCTTTATACACATTTTCTCACCATCCTATCTATTGAGTGCTTTTTTTATTTTACCTTTTTAATTTTTAAAATTTTGTGTGCAAGTCTGTTTACCAAATCCTTGTGGTTCCAAGAGGGTGTTGGATTCCCTGAAGCTAGAGTTAGAGGCAGTTATAAGCTGCCCAGTGTGGGTGCCGAAAACCTAAACTAGGGTCCCTTAGAAGAACTGCAAGCTGTTTTAACCACTGAGACATTTCCCAAGCCCCTCGAGTATTTTGTTTTAATAAAGGAAAGTTTTATTTTGCTCGAAGGATGGAGTATGTGTCTGTCACAGCATTTATATCCAAGTTCTCTCCTTCCCCCGTGTGGGTTCCATATCAAACTCAGACTGAGAACAACTCAGGTCATGAGGTTTGACGGCAAGCACCTTCAACACTGGGCCGTCTCACCTGCCCCCCGTTGAGTACATTTTCTTTTTAAATTGGGGAGAGGGGAGACATGCCATACACTTTCAAACAAACCAGGAGCCATGATAACCAATATCCCCTTCAAGGACCTAGACCACTTCCATGAGGGCCCACCTCTCTTTTTTAAGTGTTTGTGTGTTCTCTGTGTGTTCTCCGTGTGTGTGTGTGTGTACATGCATGTATTTGAGAGTAAGCTCACACATGCCATAACACACATGAAGGTCAGAGGACAAGCTGTGCATTGAGCTTGTCTCCCGTCTCGTGTTTCGTGTTTACCACTGTATATACCAGGCTAACTGGCCCCTAAGCTTCCTGGGATTATTCTGTCTCCTCTCCTTGCTGGAGGAGGGCTGGGGTTTCAGACTTGTACCCCACATCTGGCTTTATGTGGGCTCTGAGAACATGTTGGGTTTGAAAAGCAGAAAACACAAGCCCTCTGTGACAAGTGCTTTATACACCGAGCCATCCCCCCAGCCTCAGGGCCCACCTCTTAAACGCATTTGCACCTCCCGGTAGCCAGCAGCTAAGCCATATCCAAGCCATAACAACAAACAAGTTGGTATGTATCCAGCAGTGGAGTTGTGAAGCCAGATACTATTAACACTGGCACTTAGAGGGATTCCAACTGTTTCCACAAGTGGCTGAGTGTGTGTGTGTGTGTGTGTGTGTGTGTGTGTGTTTCTATCAATAGTCCATATCATCATTTTACTGTATATTTTCTATGTATTCCAATACCATCTGCTGATCTCTTCCCATAGAATTGGCTGACACTCTTAATGAAAATGTGTTGGCTGAGGGCCAACAAGATAGCACCGCCAATTAAAAGCACTTGCTGCACAAATCTGATGACTGGAATTTAATCACTGGAACCCACAGAGAAAACGGACTCCCCAAAATGTCCTTTGATCTCCATACTACCGTGCAGATCACATACACTGTGGCGCTCACATTCATATTCTGTCTCTGTCTCTCTCTATCTATTGTGCTCTCTCTCTCTCTCTCTCTCTCTCTCTCTCTCTCACACACACACACACACACACACACACACTCATAGGTGGTTTTTAAACAAAGCAAAGAAAGTCAGCCTACAAACCACAATCCCAGAGAACTTAGACAACAATGAGGACACTAAGAGAGACTTAACACAGATATAATCTACATGGGAAGTAGAAAGTAGAAAAAGACAAGATTACCTGAGTAAATTGGGAGTATGGGGACCTTGAGGGAGGATTGAAGGGAGAAGGGGAAAGGCAGGGAGGGGAGCAGAGAAAAATGTAGAGCTCAATAAATATCAAAAAATATTTTAAAAAAAGCAAAAAAGAAAATAATATGTACATTAATAAAGCATGCAGAAAGTATTGTGAATATTGCTTCTATGATGCTCAAAAGCCTATGAGATAAGCAAAGTGGGTTAAACTTTTGAATAGCATTACAGGAGTATTGGCTGAGGAATACTGAATCTAAATACTGTCTGTCATGTATGATCAAAACCTACGTATGATCTGGACACTGAGGAAGGAGGAGTTCAAAGCCAGGGTCAACACATATATCTCAAAAAGCAAAAAAATAAAAGAAAAACCTACAGAAATGACATAAATCCTAATACACGGTACCGACTAACAGCTCTTACCTTGTCCACCATTGCAAAATACACTTTTTAAAACAAGCCAGTGATGGTGGTGCACTGGGGGAGGAATCTCTGAGGTAGGAGGATCACATTTGAATTTAGTCTGGGCTACATGGAGAGGTCAAGTCAAACCTGTCCACATAGTGAGATTTAGTCAAAAAAAAAAGTTCTTTGTTAAAATGAAGACTGCTTTCTTACGGTGAACTAACCTAGCTTAAAAAAAAAAAAAGAAAAGAAAGAAAAGAAAACTTATCTCACTTCATGCCCCTAAAATTAAGTGAAATCGCTGGGCAGTGGTGGCGCACACCTTTAACGCCAGCACTTGGGAGGCAGAGGCAGGCAGATCTCTGAGTTCGAGGCCAACCTGGTCTACAAGAGCTAGTTCTAGGACAGAATCCAAAGCTACAGAGAAACCTGTCTCAAAAAAACAAAAGTGAAATAAGCAGAAATCATGTGGACCTTTTAAAAGCACTTCAGAGTTTGCAAAAATTAATTTTTTAAATATTTTTGTATGTGTTCATGTGGTGTATACATGTATGTGTACAGACACATCTGTGTGCATATGTGTAAAGGCCAGATGTTGACACTGGGGTCTTCTCCAGTCCCTCAGCAAACTTGCATTTTGTGACAGGGTGTCTTGCTAACTCTAAGTCACTAAGTCAACAGGTCCCGGGAAGTTACTGAGTCAGCTGGACTGACTGGCCAACAGGGCCTCTCAGACCCTCTTGCCTCCATCTTCCCAGCATGGAAGTTACAGGGATGGTTCTGCACACCCAGCTTAATAAAACTAGCTCTTGTAGACCAGGCTGGCCTAAAACTCACAGAGATCCACCTGCCTCTGCCTCCCTAAGTGCTGGGATTAAAGGTGTACGCCACCACCACTCTACTGCATTTGCTATTCTTGAAGAAGACCCAAATTCAGTTCTCAGCACCCACATGGTGACTCATAACCACCTCTAACTCCAATTTAGGGGATCAATGCTATATTCCAGACTTTTAAAACACATGATACACACACATTCACACATACATAAACACACCACACATACACACAGAAACACACATTACATGCATGCCAGGGTTTGCATAACTGCTTCATACACAGGTGATGCAACCATGCCACATGTAGTCACGCATGACCTTTTAAGGTCCCGGGGGCAGGGGGGCGGCACTAAGTATTTTGCCTGAACACTTGTCTGCACATGCATGGCCCTGGAACCCGGAAGTGCCCGTTGGAATCATAACAAGGAGGCCATGTTCTCCTGGTGTCCTCCATCTCCTCTGACTCCTACAATCTTCCTCCTCATCTGTAGAATTCCATGATTTCAAGTGAAGAAAACATGTTTTTGTGAACTAGTCGTGACCCCACCCTGCCTGTTGACTAGAACATTAGGTGTTTTCCAACAGCCTGCAGGTGCTTCCCTGTCCTTCGCCTGACCCAGCAACTGCCTTTGACATAACCAATCATAGTAAATGCCCTTAAAATGAGCCAATCCCTGCGTTTGACAAACAACCCACTGTACCCCCCTCCCTGAATATGTGGGGGGTTTTGCCTTTAAAAGTAGCCTGTAATAGCTAGTCAGGGCTTCTCTCCTTTGCCTGGCTGAGGAGCCCATTTGCACAAACGAGAATAAAATTCCTCTTGCTTTTGCATCAACTGGACTGGTGAGTGGTTCCATGGGGCGACCCTCCTGAGAAGTTAGCATCCCAGAGTTGGGGTCTAACACAAGTTCCCTGATCTACAAAGAAAGGTACCCAACAGGGACCTCCAATTTAGCATCTAAATGTCTGCTGTGGGTCTCTGCACCCCCTGCCATCTGCTGCTGAAGCCTCTCTGATGATGATTGGACAGGGCACTGATCTATGAGGATAGAAGAATATCATTAGGAATCTTTTGATTTCTTTTCTGTGCAATTGCATTTGGTTCTACCCTAGGTCTCTTGTGCTGTCCAGTCTCTGGTTCCTGGATATCCAGGGAGAATTGGGCTTGGGTTCCCACTCAAATAATCTCCTATATAGCTCATGTATCTTAGGCTGACCTCAGATAGAATTGTTTTTATTTTCCTTCAGCTTCAGCCTTTTCTTTAACCACATTACTTACTTGAAGGAAACAGAAGCCAAAACAAATAGCAGAACAATGGACCCTCAAAAAAAAGATTTTCTCAAGCTTTGGCCCAAATAAAAACTACACCCCCAAACCGGGTGGTGGTGGCGCACGCCTGTAATCCCAGCACTCTGGAGGCAGAGGCAGGTGGATCTCTGGGGAGTTCAAGGCCAGCCTGGTCTACAAGAGCTAGTTCCGGGACAGGCACCAAAGCTACAGAGAAACCCTGTCTTGAAAAACAAAAACAACAACAACAAAAAAACTACACCCCCATTGTCATTTGCTGCTTTTTTTTTCTGCCAGAATCAGAAAGTAGCCACTTTAACTTCTCTTCCCTGCTTAATAAAGGATCTTTCTTTGAAAACGGATTTTTTTTTTTTTGGTTTTTTTCGAGACAGGGTTTCTCTGTGGTTTTGGAGCCTGTCCTGGAACTAGCTCTTGTAGACCAGGCTTGTCTCAACTCACAGAGATCCGCCTGCCTCTGCCTCCCTAGTGCTGGGATTAAAGGCGTGCGCCACCACCACCCGGCCTGAAAACGGATATTTAAGTGTGATTTATGCCTAATCTGGATCTGGGAGAGAGCCCCCACCCCCGCTGTGCAGGAATTCCCTTCAGCTATAATGCACTGTTTTTATACCAGAAAATAAAGTGAATTAAGTCTGTTTGGGGTGGGGCGGTGAGATGAGTCAGTATGTAAAGGAAAATGCCCAACAACCTGAGCTCAAGAATCATACACACACACACACACACACACACACACGTGCATGCATGTACCCCTACATGCACATACCCAAAGCGTACAAAATAAAATTTTATGTCTAATATCCATATATGAGTGAGTACATACTATATTTGTATTTATGGGTCTGGGTTACCTCACTCAGGATGTTTTTTTTTCTAGATCTATCCACTTCAAGTTGTCATTATTTTTTACTGCTGAGTAGTACTCCGTTGTGCAAATATACCACATTTTCCTTATCCATTCTCTGGTTAAGGGTCATTTAGTTTGTTTATGGGTTCTAGCTCTTTTGAATAATGCTACCATGAACATAGTTGAGCAAATA